GGGGGGGGGGGGAAGTTGGTGTGGGGACACACACCACTGCAATCTGTGGTGAGGGGCACACTGAGAGTATTGATCTGATCATCACATCTTGGGCACAGGAGGTGATAGCTCTGTGCTCCATGAATATGCATAATCAATTAAAAAAAAAATCCCAGCTGATGCCTGCACATCTAAAGCTGGGGGCGCTCTGCCTGTTTTGCGGCTCTCCCCAAACACCCAAAGGCCCAGTTCTGGGCCTGGCGCTGGGACCCAGGTCATCGCCCCTTCCCGCCCGCCAAGGCTGCTCACCTGAGCTGGGCCCCCGCCAGGTGGACACGGAGGGTGAGGACCCGTCTCCCGGTGGCTCTCAAAACTGCCTCTTCCAGCTCAGCTCTCAGTTCCTCCAGCCCATACCCCAGGAGGGCGGACACAGCCAGGACGTTTGGTTCTGCGGGGCTGTACCTGCCAGGGGCGGAGAGGACACAGACCCGGCTCAGCCTCAGGGACGACCTGTCAAGAAGAGGGTTCCCATGTCACCCACCCACAGCTGGCTTGTGACACTTTAACTAGTGCAAGGTGAAGACACCAGCCCCACCAGATGGTTAGGTCCTGGAAGAGTGAAAACAGGTGGCAGAGGCAGGGGCAAACTTCAGGCTGGGAACGAGGAACTGTCCTGAGATCACCCCTGCCCGCCTGCTGGCCACACCTGGGGAATGGGATGCTCAGCCGGCACTGGGTCCCTGGCTCACCCGGGCACCAGGTCCACCTTGTTGTGCACTTCCACCACAGAGTCCAGGAGCGGGGTGGGCAGGCCCAGGCCCTGCAGGGCGGATAGCACGCTGGCTTTCTGCAGCTCCGTCTCCGGGTGGCTCACATCCCTCACGTGGACAATCAGATCCTGCAGGACGGGCCACGCGTCAGAGCTGAGGGGGGTCCGACCCCAACCCCACGCCCGTGGATGGCCTGCACAATCACTGCAGGCCGGTGGGGGCAGGAGCTGCCCCGCGTGCAGTCTCAGACGGGCACCCGAGGACAGGGGCTGCTGAGGACCACAGGGCGGTCCATGGTGGACCCAGGCTGCCCAGCTCCCCTGCGTCCGGATCCCACCCACTGCCCACCGTGACTCGCTTAGGCCACTGCTTATGTGACACGGGGACCACCGCTTGGTGCCTGACTGGTCTCCGGGGCCACAGGTACCGGCTCTGCCCCTCCAGACCCATGGACAAGGTGAGTGCCGGGTGTGACCACCCATCCACTGACACCTCATTCAAAGCTTCCAGCTGTTTAATCCTTCTGAAAAATCTTTAAAATTTTTTTTAAATGATTTCACGTTTTAAAGGATGCTTTTCTTCATTTTAAAAGTATCTGTACATAGGTTCCTTATGCAAAGTCTGGAAAACACAGAACAGAGGAAAATAAAAGCCACGTGTAATCCTGCCACCAGAAACAGGTGCCATATACATTTTAGGGTCTTCATGTCTAGGTTTTGGGGTTTATTTGGATGTAATTAAACTTTTAAAACATCTTTTCGCTTTGGAAAACTTTAAGACTTTCAGAAAACTTGCAGATGGTGGAGAGGGTAGCCCCTGGCCCTTGACCACCTTTTCCCGCGGTCCACCTGTGATGTGAGTGTGGGCACCTGTCCCAGTGGAGGGCCGACACTGGGACATGCTTGTCACTCCTCCCCTCGCTTGATTTCACTAGCTTTCCCTGAAGGCCTCCCGCCCCGATGCCCAGAGGACACAGATACGTATCGTCCTCACGCCTCAGGCTCCTTGGCTGTGACAGCCTGTAGTTTTTCTGCTCCAATGGTTGTAGGATGTCCTCTGTCTGGAGATTCTCAGGTTGACACGGGGTTAAGGGTTTTGGGGGTAGACTACGGAGCAGGGTGTCCCCCTCACCACCTCACGTCAAAGGCACTTGCTGCCATCCTGACCCTCCAATTGGGGACGCCAATCCTGGCCACCTGGCTGCAGGGTGTTTGTCAGGTGTGTCCCTGTTCAGTGACTCTTTCCCCCACGATGTCCTTCTTGGAAGACGTCACTAAATACAGCCCACACTTGTGGAGGGGGGTCCACCTCGTTGAGGGGTTGGAGCTACGTTAGTCACTGTGTTCGGGAGATTTATCTCTTTTCCCCGTTGCAGAAACATAATTGAGAATGTACTTTATAAACACTTATATCTCACTTTTTCTCCACTGTGTTTGAAGTCATTTTCCTACACTCTCTACAGAATCATGTTTGATGGGGACGTAAAGTCTACCACATGGATGTAGTGTGTTACTCACTCATTAACTTAAAGCTGGGTAGACAGTCATGTAGTGGGCTGAATAGTGCCCCCCAAAACCCACATCTACCCGGAACCCCAGGATGTGGCCTTATTTGGAGATAGGGTCTTTGCAGATATAATTAGTTAAGATGAAATCATCCTGGATTAGGGTGGCCCTAAATCCAATGACAGGTGTCCTTATAAGAGACAGAAGAGGAGACTCAGACACAGAGGAGAAGCCACATGAAGACGGAGGCAGAGACTGGAGTGATGCGTCCACAAGCC